CAGACTTTTACTTCAGTCCCAGGATATTTTTTAATAAGTTCTTCATGTGCCTCCTGAATGCCATGTTCTCTTGGGTAACAAGTTGTTCTCTAAAGTCAATAAATGATGTTTCTAAAGTCAGTAAATGATGCCAGTCATTTCTCATGTTGCTTATTCTAATCTCCAACTCAGGAAACCACCACAGTTCTGAAAAAAATAACTGCACAAACATGATATGCATAAAGATGATATGTCATTCACTTAAAAGTTTGGAAGAAGAAGCTGATACAATTTTAGAAAAGACTGATATAACTTCATTTTCCATTTCTCATCTACATAGGACAAGCAAAATTGTGATTCCATGGTGGCAAAATTAAAAAACAGTACGATGGAAAACACTGCTTTCTGCAGTAACATTTTGGCCCCATTCAACAGTCCCTAACAAAAAATACAATAACAGACCTAAGAAGAAAATACACAGAATCTCCTTTTGGAGAGACTACAGCTTGGCACCCAACTGAAAGAAAGGTGGCTTGGTTTTACTCAAAACACATACCATCATAATGACGTACTTTCACATTTATAGACTGAAAGCACAATATTCAGGCTTCTTAGTATTAAATGTCTACCAAGAATACAGAAAGCTCAAGAAGGTGAAAGAAGAAATTGAGACTTCTATTTTCCATTAAATTTGTTTAAACCTAGTACAACACAGTCTACTATTAAACCATGGCTTTTGCTGACTTTTATGGTGCTACTGTAGTTAGCATTTTGAACACACCTATAACAAGATCCAAATGCAAATGTCAGATCCAGCAAAAGTTACATTACACCAAAAGGACAATATATGCAACGAGGGAGAAGGGAAGGAAATGTCTCATGGCAGTCTGTAGCAACCTTTCTGCCTCAGTAATTTCTGATGGGTTCTAAATAGGAGCAGAGAGATGAAGGAATTAAAACAAGGGGTTCCATTTGCTTGTGAATTGCTCTGCTAAACTGTAGCAACAGCATTTCTAGACTGATCAGCTTAGATCTGTCAGCTTTCACAGCTGGTACACTCAATAGGAGGTACATTTTAGCCAATGCAGTAATAGCATAAAAAGGAAATGCAGCCTTCAAATGTTTTAAATGATGCTTGTGAATTGTCATTTCACAGCTTTATGAGATGTTCCTGTTCCCCTCCCTTCCTTTTATTAGTTAGCATCAGGTTGGGTAGATTTCTGTGCAATTCGCAACTGAGTCACCAGAGAAGGGTCCGCCTTGATCATACATCAAACTGATTTCAGACCCTGACGAACACCCAGGCTCAACAAGGGAGACAATCTTTATATGCACAAAAGGTAAAAATATTAAAATTCATAATAAACATTTGTTTTCCACTTCAGTCCCCTCCCCCGGCTCACTATCCCACCCCCACTTCTCCTGTCTGATAACTATGACAGTCCAGACTGAAGGATATTTTTAATGCAAGGATAGGCATGCATTTCAAGCAAAACATCAAAATGGTACCTCTTTAATTTTTTAAAGAATGGAGTTAATTAACCTTCTTACCAAGCAATACGCATCTTCCACTGTCTTAGATGGAAAACATATTAGTTTAATTAAGATTTCACAGGGAGAGACAGTTGCAAATACTTGGAACTGAGAAAAAGCAGAATCTTTATGAGGAGGGTGCTGTATGTTTTACAACGCCCTGAGTCTCTTTGTTGTTTGCACTTCAAATGGAGTCCGTTTTTATCTCCCTCTCTCCTGCCGAGAGAAACTGATATTATCATGTGTTTCAATGAAGCTATTAAAAACTTCAATCATGAGATTTCTGGTTTGCATTCATATGTTTCTCTCTCCCTCTCTGGCGGAGTTGCACTGTGACATTGGCTATATGGCAGCACACATTGACTTTTTTTTTTTTTTTTTACAAATCAGTTAGATAATCCCCATGCAATCATAACTTGAATGGAAACCTTAGCACCTATGTTTTCTTTAACTGGTGCCCACTCGCTTTGATTTTTGTAGGTCTAGGATTTTGATGATGGGTGTTCTCAATAAAGCAGGGCATGCCATGCTTTCTTCTGTGTCTTCGCTGTAAATATATGATGAAAAATGCAAAGCGACAGCTCAAAATTCTGTATGCCCAGAACAAGGACAGCATAAACTATGTTAGCATAAACATTCCTCCACTTCAGGAGCTAAGAAACACTTCACCAGTATGAAAACAGTGTGTTGCGGTGAGATGATATTCCTGTACAGGTACTTTAAGGGCAATACCACATAAGACTGCTATATACTGCTTCACATACTCTTCTTATGTGGATGTACTAGGGGAAGAAAACATGTCACCTATGGTTGAATCAAGTTGAATCATAAATCAGTCATTAGCCTGAGAGATTCTCCTTAGGTTAATGACAAAAAAAAAGAAAAAAAAAAAGAAATATAAAATGTGGCGGATCCTTACATTTAAATAGAATTCCAATTGAGCTATAATGCCTGGGAATTCATTATTAAGGACTGAAACCTGGACATAGCCATGAATTAATTTCCTGTCTTTTGTTTTTTTTGTCAGTTAATGTCACCTAATCATTAGTGTCAGTAGACAAGAAAACAATATTTGGTTATTGTATTTTCTCTCTAAGTCCTTGAGCCAGCTCTCTGTGATTAGTGCTACAATGTTGCATATAGCATTGTTTTTCAATCAAGCTTGCAAGCAAGATGGACATTTCTAATGCAAAACAAAAAAAAAAATGATTTTGTGTCTGAAGACTTGAGATTTTATTACCTTAGGCCAAGTGAAAAGTTCTGTTTCAGCCCCACATAAACATTTTTGCTTGAAGAGTTGAGGCATTTCTAGTTCTGTGTTCAAATCAAAGCAAATTTTGAGATAAAGAGCTGTTTTACACTGAAAAAAAAAAACCAGAACACTTCATATGTTAAATCATTTAAAAATGCCAGAAGATTAATAGACATCCACAAAGCAGTTTTCTCCTTCTCTGTATTGTTTTGTGCAAAACACATTGTTAATAAGACATTGTTTTCAATAGTATTGGTATTTCAACATTATCAATAAAAGATTGCCCATTTGTTGCAACATCTGTGCTCGCTTGAGAGCTACAGATTCAAACTGGGCAATCTGCCTGCTTGTTCATCAAAGTCAACAATAATCAGGAGTTCAAATAATGTTTTTTTTCCTTGCTTTTTGAGCAGCAGGCTGGAAACACAATGACTTGTTTGGCCAAGCTCTGAACCACACCCTAGAAGAGGGAATCCCTTCTGGATCCTCAAGTCAGTGCAAGGGTAACACAAGTGGCTGCAAGAAATCAGGGAGCAGGGATCTCAGTGACTCAAGAAATTAATTATTTATGAATCCACCTTCGGCCAAGGGCCCTCTCCTGGCTTAACAGCCAACCAGAGGAGGCAAATCTTTGACACTGCTCTCAGCTTATGACTTCAAGTGGCCTCTGATTCATGGCTGCAGGTAGAGACACGTGTCGCGTCCACATTCAAACAACTGTCAATCACCTGCAAGTGCCCTTCACCTTCGGCCAAGGGTCCTCTCCTGGCTTAACAGTCAACCAGAGCAGGCAAATCTTTGACACTGCTCTCAGCTTATGACTTCAAGTGGCCTCTGATTCATGGCTGCAGGTAGAGACACGTGTCGCGTCCACATTCAAACAACTGTCAATCACCTGCAAGTGCCCACCCCCTTTCTCTTCTAATCCAATCAGAATGCTCGCTACCAGCCATCCCTCCCCTCCATGGGCCCTGGCATTAAGAGGACCTGTCAATCACCTTTCTAAGCCCACCCCTTTCTCTTACCACCCAATCAGGTTTTGCACCCGCCCGAATACCCGGCTGTAGGGGATGAGGGATGGTGGCCATTTTCCTCAGCGATGACAGCAGAAACTTCTGGCCACCAACGAGAAGGGGGAAAGGCCAATGCATTAATTGAGCAGTGCCCTTCAGGCTTTACTCGTCTTAGGAGAAAGCCCTGATTACTGTTTTTTTTTTTTTTTTGGTAGCACATATGTGATCCATTAAAAAATTTCCATGGGGAAGAGCTGTAGCACAAACATTGGCCAGATAAACCGTCGCTGTTTCTTCTAGACCGCAGTCCCATTTTCCAGGCTGCCGGTTTCCTGCGACGCATCCCTCCTTGTGACGGAGCTGAGGAAGCAGTCAGCAAGCAGCACACGGCCTTTTCTGTGTACGCTGCCGTTTATGAGGATCTGATTTTCAAACCCACCCCCCCCCCCCCCTCATTTAAAAACACTCTCTCAATTCATGCTAAATTGATTCACAGGGTGTGCTAAAATCCTGGTGCCCTTCTTATATCACCTTTCTCTTGCCCTGTGGTCGCACAGCTCAAAATAGCTGTTGTATTTGTTCATGTTTTCTTGCAGAGGTGCAGCTACATCTTCATGTGTGTAGAAATACGTGCCCGTGGACGCTGTCACGTCAGAAGACACATAAGGCAAAAGAGGTGCTTTCTGAGCTTAAACACAGAGTTTATGATCACCATGGTGCCATACAGCCACCCCGCTATAGCGAGGAGGGCCTGTTTTGGGACACGCTGGACTACTTGCTGCTAGGGATCAATACCTGTTGCTGACAGGAGCCAGTGCTGTGCAGAGAGGTGCATTAAAGCTCCAAGCACTTCTCAAGTTTTAAGGAGCACCGCAGCAGGAAACGCAGCCAGAATAGCGATTTGCCGTAGGCTCGCAGAAACAGCTCTGGTGCAGGAGAAGCCTTGCCAATAAGCGAGTAAAACCGCGCTCGGCCGCGTCGCGCAGGCAGCCCTGCGAGCTGCCGTGCCTGCGAGTTCCTGCGTGGTTTGTGGTTTGCTCCCCACTGCTTGATTGGCTGCACTTCACGAGGGAGAGGCGAGGATGCGGCCGCCAGGGCTTCTGCGTCCCAAATGGCTCCACAGCCTTGTGCCCTCTCTGAGCGCTCGCGCTGAAGGCAGGAGGCGAGCTGATTGCCACGTTATGAAACTGATGCCGTTCGCCACTGCTTCGTCTCCACGCGGGTCCTGAGGCAGCAGACTGCAACCACCTGCCGTCCAAGGTACAGAAGTGCTCAGCTGCGTGCTTCTTGCACCGTGAATTTTCAGGGGAGAAGTGCTGGTTTAAATTAGCATGACATTTTCTGCAGTTAAACAAGTGAGGTCTTAGCTGCTAGGCTCAAGATTTAGTGTGTTTTCATTTCCGCTGCTGCTGCATCGGGCTTTTCTCCTTGTCAATGGGGGATCAGGAATGTGCTCAGAAGGAGGGTGTTTGTGGGAACAGAGCAAAGGAAATAATAGCTGGAGGTTTTTTTGTTAGTCAGAAGCACAAAGCAAAGAGATAGCCAGATCCCTCAGAAACTTTAAGGTTACCCTGACAGGGATCAGGCTATTGTGTCTCTGAGACACCCTGTGTCATCGTTCTGTGTGATGCCTACAAGGGAAAATGCTTCTGGCAACTGCAGACCTGGCATCACTGAGCCTCTTTTTAGTGTCTCCTGCGAAATATTCTGGGGTCTCCAGGGGCAAGGCCTGCCTGTATCATTCCTTTGTAATGTGCTTGTAGAGTTCCTGGATGCATTGTAAGAGTACCAGGAACTCTTGCTGCCAGATGTCTCCTTAGGACAGAGCAATGCACAGTCTTAGGACAAGGTCTGTATTTTGTGCACGGGTTTATTTATGGAGAAGTCTAGTGCTGCTTAACCTGTCTTGCAGCTAACCCAGGAGCAAAAGGACATCTGCTTCGAAGACATGATTTGGTAGCTTTTGTTAGTAAATGTTTTCTTAGAAAAATTAGTAACCCAAACTTTCTTCAGCAATAGCAGGAGAAACTGCCATATTTACATTCTGGAGAAGAAATGTTTTGTAATGACTTCATATTTACATTTGTCTGGAGAAGAAATGTTTTGTAATGACTGGGTGTCTAGTAAATGGCCATGCAAAGAAGAGGCGGATTTTGGCAGTGAGAAATGCTAACTGGTTGCCCACTAGTTAGGCTTTGGCATGGAAGGCCCTCATCAGTTTAACTGGCATCCAGTTGAAGGAGAGAGGAAGAAGCCAACACTTGAGCCTCTGCTGCCCAGGCTCTGAACATGACGTACACCCTAGAGGTGGTGTGATGGTGAAGTGAGTGGGGGAAAAGTTACACAGAAAACATGTTTCTTTTGCAGCATTCCAGAGGGGGGAAAAAAAAAAAACACGTTTTGGTGTCCCAGTGAAGTAATTCCCGATGCTTCTGTGTATATTAGCATTTAATTCTGTTTCTTTCTTGCATCCAAACTTGACAATACCATACAAAATGGCCCTGTTCATCATTCCCTGGAAATGGAGGGATAGGCTATGTAAAATGGACCCATCTAAAATCAGCTTAGCCATGTTGTCTGTATTGTGTTTGGGGCAGGGAATGTTCTTATCTCTCACTCCCCTCCACATACATCACTTTAAATTGTTCAAAATTAGAGAACTTCTTGGGCAAAATTGGCTTTTCACGAGATAACATTTTTTTACAACTCCCAGAATAGCAGGTCTCTGATGCTCAAGTTAGCTGTCTGACCTGATCTCTTACAGCATTTCACAGAAGTTTGCAGAAGTGTTTAGAAGCTTATCGCTTGTTTTTTTGTGTGTGTTTTTTTTTCTTCTTTTTATGAGTTATAGCTTATGATTTTAAGTGATAAAAGGAATCACTTCTCCCTTCAAACTTTCTCTTCCTCTGCCTAACTGCACAGAATTTCTTTTTTTTTTTTCCACGCTTCTTACTTTTAATCTTGCAGCCATACGCCAGTGCCCTCCATTTTTGCTGATTCAAGGACGGCAGCAGTGAGAAAGTAATGCCATGCATGCAATGTTAGACTCTGCCCTTGCCATCAATTTGCAACTTGACAGCAGCTCTCTGTGGCCATAAGCAATATCTGAAAGTTTGGCAGGCAAGAGGTTGCTATTAAGCCACAGGTCTGGAACTACTGCTATAGGCAGTCTCTTTTGGTTTGCTTTTACTGCCTCACATAATGAAAATGATCTTCATTCAGTCTCTGACATAGGTAGTCAAAAGGGCTTAACCACCGAAGCTGAGAAAATGCCTATTGTTTCTCTGGTAATTAAATATTTCTAGCAACACTTGATATGCCTACGTGTTTGAGGTGATTTTGTTTCTTTAGTGCTTACAGTATAACAAGGCACTTTCTTCCTCTGCCTTTCTCGCTTGCCTCCAGAGTCTGGCTTTGGTTTAACAGGAGCTTAGCCATTCTGCCAGCTTTCAGTTCCTCAAAATGCTATACAGAATATAATGATTGTCATACACTTGATTTAAAGCTCAGGGCTGGCTGCAGGCCATACTGCAGTCAGCGCAAATGGCATTCATAAATCCCATATCTTCAAAAATCTTTACTTTGCAGCTCCCTTGGAGGAAACTTCTTGGTTTGTTCAGCTTAGTTTTCCACCATTCTTGGTAAATTTGGGCAGCAGCAAAGGAAATAACACAGTCCCGTAAGGGTTCATGTGGAGGTAAATTTGAGATTCCTGTGTAGAACTTTCATCTTTTTATCTACACACATTTTTGTTTACTGATGGCCATTTTGCCCATTTATCCTTAAGACTGTTGAGTGTGAATTCTTCTCCTACTTGGTACCTAGGCCAGGCCTATGAGCCTGGATACTGAGTTACTGGATCACTGAGTCACCTGCGATGACAGAAGCACTCCAGTCGTGCTGACTTAACTAACTAGACAATCTACAAAAACGAGCTAGCCTTTGGAGAACTCAGCCTTATGGCTTTTGGTATCCCAGCCACGTAAATAGCTCCATGCACAGCGACACTGTCCTGTGTGGACGTGCCCAGCGATGTGAAATGGTTTGCCTAAGGATACACAGCAAAGCATTAGCTGCTCTGGGGCTGGAAACAGCTCTCTCAATTCTTGATCTTACTCCTTGATCACTCCATGCTTTGAGGTACAGACTCTTACCATGATATAACCATACTAGCACTGTAGCAGGTGGAAGTTTTACTTACGTGCCTCTGATGTTTGCCCCCTAATTTCCCAGGGGTATCAGGCATACCCTGCTGGGTGATCTTGAGAGAGAAGGGCGTAGTTTTTTGTTTTGGTTATAGCACAGAACCTTGTCTCTGTAGCGTGCTCACTGTAAATACTGTTTCCAGAAGGTGAAGATGAGAATTTCAAGATGAGAATGAGGGAAAGTGATCTTGGAAGGCTCTCAGTTCTCCCTGTAGCCTTAAATTTTCTTAATCATTCTGCTGATTAAAGAATCATGCTAAAGCACCATCTAAATAACATCTAAGCAGGGGAGACTAACCTTTGAGAAATAAGCTTGCTAAGAATGGCCACATTATTATAGCATTGAGATCACAGGTCAGCACTGCGAAATATTATTAGATGAAACAAAATGACTAGAATGCCTAAATGAACAGTATGTACTAATACATGATGAAATTCTTCCTTTTCTCTTTTGGAGTTCCAAAATTCATCCTTTTTCCCTCTCCCCTACTGTGTAACCTTTTTTACATACTGCTTTATCTTCTCAAAGCAGTGTACAGTACTAATTACATGACATTCTCTTTTTTTCCAGAGGCACTATATGCCTTGCGTGCTCTAAATTTGCCTTTCTGCTTCCCCAATTTTTTATTATCTCATCATGACAAAATTCACCAGTAACACTTAGAGTACAAACTTTAACCCCTAGAATTTTCTTTTTAGAATTTTCTTTTTTTTTTTTAAAAAAAAAAAAAGGGCAACATAAAGAACAACAGGAAATTAAATATATTCCCAGGTCATAGCACCTCCAAACTACAGATGAGTTCTGGCACAGGAGAAATTTGCCATAATCCCTGCAGTCTTAACAGGGATTATCTCAGGATATGGACAAGATCTTAAAATTGTCTCTGTGCATGAATGTGCTCTGGTAATTTTTTTTTTTCATATAGAAGGGTATAGCATCTAAAGATAACATACTGAAGGCATTCATGTGACTGTTTGTATATAGGATTTGCTGTACCAGATGTACCAGGACGTATCCATCTGTTACATCCAGTATGCTGCCCAAATAGTGGTCAAAACATAACGATTCTGGGAAAGGTGACCCAACCCTCCATCAGGCAAGTGTGCAGAGCTCTATATGGGGGTGGAATAAATCCTTCCTAACTTTAACAGGGTGAGAAGTTTGCAATTTGAAAGTGTCAGACTGTTTTATACTTACATTAATATGCACAGAAATAACATCCTTGTTTAACCATTATGTGTTAGGAATTTCCTTTTGGAATAATCCTGACAGTGTAACTGATCTCTGAGATTAAATTCATGAAATCCAAAAGAAATTCTCTTGATTTACTTTATTGTAAAGGAGAAATAAATGTAGTCTCTAACTGCTTCCCTGTTTTGAACAGAAGTTGAATCTTAATTAAATCTTAAATCTTAAATCTTAATTGAATCTTATTAGTATTTTGAGATACTAAGTAGAGGGGAGAGATGCAGTATCACATTGCTGAAGATTATACAGGTAGTGTCATAATCATGTCATTACCTTCCATAGTCACCATGTACAGCAGTTGCTTCTTTTGCCTACTGATTTGGTAGAGCATTTGTTACTGTCTGCCATGTCTGAATTGTATCTGTATTACATGCCTAAATGATGTAATCTCGTCTTCTTCCTTCATGTAAAGAACCCATGCATTAACCAAAGCCTCTGAATGTTTGTGATCTCAGATTAGTTTTGAATGATGCTTAAGAAAATATGTTTTCTTTCCCATGACATCTCAGTTAGGTAGTACTCAGTGGGACTGATACCGACAGCCATAGTTAAAATTTCATCATTCAGAGCAGCAACTACTTCTCTCTGTTCCCAGCAGAAGTGAAGCCAAGTGTCCCTGTTGAAAGGTTGCAGAGTTGCTGCTGTCAGTAGAAAATCCTGGTGTGAAATGATGAATATTTTGAAAGGGCCATTGTGGGCAGATCGGGTATCTTGAAAGGTCACTTTGTAGTATTCTCTGAAGGAAAAAATTGAACACCAGGGCTTTTTCGAAGGGGAATTTTTCAATAAGAAGTATGGTAGAGGAA